CTCTGTAAATTTTCACCCAAATCACAATAAAAAAAATTTTTAATAAAATAAAAATAGATTTATGCTTCCTTAGACATACCAATACCAATTACATGGTTCAAGAAATGTAACTGCAAAATTCTCTCAGGAATTAATTTAAGTGGACTTCCGGTAAGATAGAGGAATACGCAGACAAGCGACACAGACCCTGTTCAACAAAGAAAAAAATAACCAATTGACAGAGATACAGAAGATAATCCTGAAGCCCTGGCTTTGTAAGGAACTACACAGAAGTAGATTAGGCACCAACTAGTGGAAAAACCTGAATGAAAACAGAACCTAAGAATAGGCTCTGTTTGCCAAAGTCAGCAGGGACATACGAGAGGCTGACAACAGGAAAGGAAACAGGTGGTGAGTGTATAAGTGGTGTCAACTAGTGAATAGAGGAGCACACCATCGTACCCTGCTTGCACAGATAACATACAAACAAAACAAACAAAATGAAAATCATGGGCAAGTCACTCCAACATACAATCATCAATTAAATATAAACACAAAAAATGTCACAATGCCTTGGAGACAACAGAGCATTTACAGTCCACACAAAGAAGCAAGATAAAGCAGGAGAAACAAGGGACCAGGATACAGACCCAAAACATACCCCTAAGGAAGATGCAGCATTGGAACTCCCTGATAAGGAATTCAAAAGAATTATATTTAGGTATCATGAATGAATTAAACACTGACAAAAGTGAGGAAAACACAGAGAAAACCCTACAACAATTTCAAAAGACGATACAAGAACAAAATGACAAAATAAATGAAAAGTTAGAAATGATACAAATTCTACACACAGCAATCCAGAAGATTAATACTAAATTCTCAGAAATAAGACATTGAATGGGCAAAAGAGAACTGAATCAATGGAAGACAGAATTAGGGAGACTGAAGGCAAATACCTGAACACTTCTTTGGAAAGGAATCAATCAGAAAAAAGATCAAAACAAAATGAAGAAAGCCTATGGTTCATGTGGGATACCATCAAAAGGAATAACCTTCGTGTAATTGGGAGTTCTGGTAGCATAGTGGCTAAGGCACTTGACTACTAACCAGAAGGCTGGT